AAATATGGAGCGGAAAAAAGATCTGGTTGTCACCTGAAGATATTTGGATGCCGTACCTAAGCCCACATACTCGAAATAAAAAGGAAAAAGCTAGACGAGAAGAGTAAACAATACATATTTGTTGGTTACACAGTTGGTTATAGACTATTAGATCCTGTAAACCATCGTCTTCAGCTAGCCCGCGATGTCATTTTAATGGAAGAGGATTATAGTGACCGTCCGAAGTATTCAGGTACTGTAAAGTTAAACTTATCTTCGCTTGAAGAAGATGATGAAGACGAACCAATCGTAAACGATGAAATTTCGTCGGAACCGTCTACCAGCACTTGTCGGGAAAAGGAAACTGTAACACCTGGACTAATTGAGTCAGATGATTTCGTACATCTGAAATGACTTCAAATTTTCCGGATAAAGACCAAATTGGCGATTTAGCAGATATATCGAATTCTAGTCCTAATCATAATATTGTAAGTAGGTATCCAAAACGAATTACACATAAACCAAAATGTTATGGTATAATAGATGAGGATTGTAATTTTATTGATTTTGCTATGTCAATTGTTTTGGATTTTGAACCTGTAACAGTTTCTGAGGCATTATCTAGTCCAAGAAAAATGAATAGGAACTGGCTATTAAAAAAGAGCTAGATGCATTTAAAATTAATAATACTTGGGAACTAGTTGATACGCCATCTAATAAAAATATTGTTAAAAATAAATGGGTATTCAAAATCAAAAGAAATAAAAATGGCGACATAGTAACTTATAAGGCTATGTTAGTTGCAAATGGCTTTACTCAGAAATATGGTCTTGACTATACTGAAACCTTTTCACCTGTTGTCCGTTATAGTATAATTTAAGAATGTTACTTGCTATGGATGTAGAGTTAAATTTAGAAGTAGATCATTTAGATGTAGAAACCGCATTTCTGAATGGAGATATTGGATAACGGAGATATGACGAAGAAATTTATACGTGTCAACCTGAAGGTTTTAAAGAGCCTGGTTCAGAAAATTTACGGCTTAAAGCAATCTGCTAGAATATGGTATCAAAAAGATCATGCAGAAGTTTTTAAAATAGGTTACCAACAATCAAAGATAGAATCATGCATTTTCTTTAAAATATCAGAAAGCTTAATAGTAATCATTGCCGTTGTTGACGATTTTTTGAAAGTGATCGTCTTAAAAATGAATTAAATATCAGTCAAGAACAATATATTTTAAAAATTCTTGATATTTTGGAGATGACCGATTGTAAAACGGTGAGTACATCTCTTAAACAAAATAATAATTTTTCACTTGACGAAGAATTGTATGAGGTTCCCTATCAGTAGTTATTAGGAACTCTTATGTATTTGGCTGCTTGTACGCGTCCAGATATAATTTTTGCTGTGTCGTACTCAAGCCAATTTAACATTAATCATACCAAAGAACATTGGTAGGCTGCTAAAATATTTAAAAGCAACCAAAGAAGTTGGAATAGTTTTTTATAAATCTGGTGCTCCTTTAGCTGGCTTTCTCTCTGATTGGGCCAACGATGTTACTGATAGAAAGTCATATTATGGTTATATTTTTACATTAGCCAGTGGGCCAATTTCATGCGAAAGTCAAAAGCAAAAGTGTATTGCTCTTTCTTCGACTGAGGCGCAGTATATCGGGATAACTGAGGCTGTTAGAGTCACTATATTTGAAATACTTATTATGTGAGCTCTTTACTGTAAATAAATATTGTAAATTTCTTAATATTGATAATGCTCCTAGCCTTTACAATGACAACCAAAGTGCAATAAAATTAGCTGAAAATCAAACTTTTCATAAGGGAACAAAACACATACATGTAAAATATCATTTCATTCGTGAGAAAAAGATATTAGTTTATTGTATATGCCAACTGATGAGATGATAGCAGATATGCTTACAAAATCTTTAGGTTGTACAAAACACAGATTTATTTGTAATAAAATAAATTTAAAATTATTTTTTGTTTGTCCAAAGTGTGTAAAGTATATAGTTTAGTTTATGAGTTTAGAAAAAAGATATAATGAAAATTGTCACATATATATTGTTAGATATGTTTATGTATTGTCTGTTTTAAATAAAATTTATTTACATTCAACTTGTTCCACTGAATTTCCAACAGTTATTAGTTCTATTGTGTAATTAAATCCTTAATATTTTTTAATTATGTTTAGATATGTTAGTCCTATCCTGTACACTTCAATGTGCAATCAATGCGCAAGCGCGTGGGTCGCTTCTTTTTAAAAGATGGCCGCCTTCAATTCCACGTGCCTGGCGAAAACGACATTTCCTATCTCCTCTAATCCATATCTGTGAAAATAAATATGATCTTACCTCTAATTGCCTAACGCAGCTGACATACGCGAGTCGCGATTGTATATCGGGTAAATTCGGAACTCTGACAGGTTCAGTGAAAGGATTCCATCTCTTCCACAATAACCACCACCCCGATAGGTCGTCGCCGTAATTGGTCAAATCTTGATCGTCCACTGATCCGACGTCAATGGCTAGAATGTGGTTGGCGCCCAAGCTTCGCATCACGTCAGCTAAAGAAATTTATTGTAAATTAATTAAACCGTTTTTTTACTCACAGTTTTGGAACATTCAGTATAAAAGAAATATATAGTGTGGTTCAGAAGTGTGGAAAACTTTGAATACCGTGGTAATTGCAGGCAAGATCCGAAAGCTTTTGTTTGTATCTTTATTGTTTTTTTTTTTTAATCAAGTCAATAAATTTTGTGAAGGTTATTTTTTAGTTTTTACAGAAAACATTAAAAAAAATGGCATCATCTAGTTGTTTGTAAAAATTAAAAGGGGCTCTCGTATTTATACAAATGTTCTCTAAAATTATCGCATATTAGATTTAACAAAGTATTTTATTAAGGCAGTCAGAAAAATATACAATTTCCACCTCAGTATGAAAGGCCAATAAATATTAAAGCAAAAATAATAAAATACATTAAAACATACTGTAGTGTTCTTCTTCTCTTTTAATTTTGTACAATTTTACTATTCAATACCTCAAAATTTGAGATAATAAAGTAAATAGGTATAATACAAAATAATTGCCGAATAAAAGGGAATTAATGAATGAAAACCAGACTGAAGATATATAATGCTTGGTATTCTATATTATGCTCGTCACAGTTTAACAGACCCCCTTTACCCCCAGTTTCAATCAGATTTTTTCAGAATCAATAGGCTTCAGCTTATAAAGCTTGCTTTTTCCTGAAGATTTTTTGTTTCCGAGTTAGTATTTTTTTTCTCAATATTTCTTCCGTTCATAGAACTTGCTTTTTGCTAAAAATGTCAAGATGATATCATTTTTTTTTAGTTAGGATTTTTGTAATATTTGAACCCCTCATTTTTATTTAGATTTTATTTTTCACAATAAATAGGCTTCGTCCCTTATAGAGCTTGATTTCTGCTAAAAATTTCAAGTAGATACCATTTTTCGTATTTGAGTTAGGATTTCAACCCCCTTAACGCCCTATTTTTATAAAAAAAAAAATTAGAATACATATGCTTCATCTTCTTATAGAGCTTAATTTTTACTAAAAATTACATATTGATATCGCTTTTCGTTTTTGATTTGACTTTTTTTTAATTTCACCCTCCCCCCCCCCCTTAACCCCCCATTTTTAATCAAATTTTTTCAAACGCACTTGGCGTTGTCCCCTTATAGAGCTTGATTTTTCTAAAAATTTCAAGTTGATATTATTTTTTGGTATTGACCTTAGATTAAAGAGACCGAAGATGTAACATTGCACACTGCGCATGTTGTCTATTTTAAGCCAAAGTAACCCACCAATTGAAAATCATTGTTGCACGACGCCACCCGAATTGCTCCGATTTCCATTCAGCGATCACACCTCCACCTGAGTTTAATCACCATTGACAGCTGTTTTTTGATTTATTTGTTGGTATTTTAGCAATTTAAAGTGTTCTAGTTATTCAATTTCAAGTTCAAAATGTCACGATGTATCTTGAAAAATTGTATGTACTTATAATACAAGTACTACTGTTATGAATATATTCGTTTTCAGCGGTAAATATTTATTAACGTTTTGACATAAAGCGCCATGATTCTCTGGGCTGAATACTTCAGATCCGCATTAAGGGGTTTCAATAAATATTAAGCATCACAAACTCAGATTACATATTACTTACATAAATTTACAAAAGGGTAAAATTTTGAACATTTAATTTAAATAAATAGTAAATAGGCATTATTGCTAACGAAATTTTGTATTTAAAAAGTAGTTTTATAAGAATGTTTTCTAAAGGTAGTTTTTAGCCCTTTTTGGAAGATAAATAAGAGGTAAAGAATCATAGTTGCTAGCTAAATTTTATTTTTATAAGAATATTAGATGAAATACAGGATGACCTACTTAAAATTTCAAGGTTCATCTTATTTGCGGTCAAATCGAAAGTGACATTGAATTTTCAGTCTTAAAACAAAGTAATCTAGTATAAGCAAAAAAAATACTAAAGTTACAGGAGTTAGGTCCGATTCCACCGTTGTGTTAAACGGAGATTAAAATGACAGTGTTAATGTAAAAATGTCATTTTAAACTTCGTTTAACACAACGGTGGAATCGACCCTTAGTCACGTTAATAAAATGTTACATTACAAACCCCTAAACAACTCGAACATAATTTTCGTTTACTAAAAAAAATCCAAAATTTAGCAATATTTATTTATTATACAAGCGAATGCGATTTCAAAGATAACTGGATCAAAAAATCCGAATCTCTAAATTTTGGAGCTAAATGCTCAGATAAAAGCAAGCGACCGATGGGGGTTACAAAAATAATCGATTTATCGATAATTCTGATATTTTTTAATGAAAATCGATTTATCCGCTGTTTTTAATAAATTATTTTCGTTTTTTTTTTAAGATAATGTATTAATCGATTTTAAAGGAAATACAAAAAAAGTAGATTTATTCAAAATAATCGATTTATCGTTTAATCGGTTTTTTAATTATTTGATTATTTTCGATTTTTCAAAGATATATGAAAATAATCGATTGAATATAATCGGTTATTTTACATAATCGATATTTTGGTTATTTTTTTAAAATTATCGATTTATTGGATAATCAGCTTTTTAATAATCAATTATTTTCGATAATCGAATAATCAATTTCAAAGGAAATATGAAAAAAGGATTATTAGAAAATAATAGATAATTCGTTTTATTTTTTTGGAAAATCGATTTATCATAGAATCGGCTTCTTAATTAATTGGTTATTTTAGATTAGGCGATTATTTTGGAATTATTGATTATTTTTGATATTTCAAAGATAATCGAATTATCGATTTTAAAGGAAATACAATAAAAATAGATTATTGATAATAATCGATTGATCGAAAATAATCGATTATTTAAAATAATCGATCATTCTGTTTTTTTTTAAAATCGATTTGTCAGTTAATCGACTTTTTAATTAATTGATTATTTTTGATTAATCGATTATTTTCGAAAAAAATGGTTTATTTGAAAATCGATTATTTAAAACAAACGATAATTCTATTTATATTATATTTTGTAAATACTGATTTATCGGTTAATTGGCTTTTTAATTAATCGATTATTTTTGATTTTTCAAAGATAATCAAGTAGTCGATTTTAAAGGAAATGACGAAAAATATATCGTTTGAAAATAATCTATTGATCGAAAATAATCGATTATTTTCAATTATCGATAATTTATTTCGATAATCACTCATCCCTAGCGACCAAATGACTTTTAATAGATTTAAATTTTAAAATGTTATCTGGTTTCAGACATATGCATTTCTAGAGTTTTATGTGACTCATCCTTTATAATAATTAATATTCTTAAAGAAAGAAGCCTTAATATACTTTTTCTGAGGTTACAATACAAAACAGCATTTTCTCATTTTGACTAATTTTTAATGATATGTAATAGCCGTAGAAAAAATATAATGTTCAACTCATAAGGGTAGATTTGCAGTATTAGCCTGCGCACATGCTATTTTTATAATACTCGTAGACAATGAATAACATTTTTTGCTCTATTAACAATATATTCTATTTCAACATTTTACTGTAATCTCTTGCAGAAAAGTCCGTAGTAAATAAACGCTAACGAAATATTCTATAAAAGGTCTTCTCTTTACATAAAATGTCGTGGCATCTGTTTGATATTAAAAAATCACGATAATTTGATTTCATAATACAAAATTCGATTAAACACCTTTTAAATAAACCTAATAGTTCATTAAGATGCTAATAAACAAAGTCCGGTCCCTGTCACAGAGTTCGGGTCGCCGCGTGTCGCCGCCCAGTTCCCCCACTCCGTTAACCCTTCTTTAGAAATTGGCAACATTTGCGCAGGTTTAAAACCGGTGTATGTTATATCTCTGGTCTCTTTTATCTAAGGTATTGACTTATCGTGCTGACATAAAGCGTGACATCGGATGGACGGACAAAGCAAACCTATAATACTCTTCACAGACTATTGTGTGATGAGTATAATAATAAACGTAAAAGTGTTAAGAGCTGAATAAATATGGGATGTGTATCATTTAACATGCAAAAATTGGATGCTTACTAAAAAAAAACTAACAACTTACCAACACCTCTTTTTAAACAGTCATATTTTCTAAATTTTATATCCCAAAAACTTATTCTTATCTTGCAAGCCGTTATCGAAATATCTTATGGATTCTACACTTTTGGACCACACTACATTTAAAAGTCCAAAGGAGCAAACATATTTTTATCTAATTCACGACAAGGTCTCACGAAGAATAGGACCTCTTAGTCAACCCGAATATATCTTAGCTCAATATCAGCAGAAAAGAAATCAAACTAGCTTTAAATTTGGTTTAGAGGACTGATATACTGTTTATATTCTTAAGAGAAATTCAATGTATTCAAATGACGACGAGAAACATTTGAAACAGTCTTATAAATTCTACTAGTTTCTACACTAGATACTCTTCGATAAAGTTTTTTCTATTCAATGGCAGCAAGGCTAAAACTTTATAAATATTGGAGTAGATAATGCCAAAAGTAATTTTTTCGATCCGGAGTCGATGATACTGTAACATGTTCAAAGGTTCATTATTACTCACTGGTTTTCAGTTTCAATTATTTTTCATTATCCTCACCCCCCAGCATCTCTAGTCCACTATTGAACATAGGCATCCCCTATTTTCCAATTTTATTTTGGTTGTGCTACTATTGCTAGCTAGTTGAGGGATTATTCTTCACAAATCGTGTAGGTATCTTGTATGGGACTTCACTCGACTATTCGCTTCACCTTTCTTTAAAACAAGCAACGTGTCCAGCTCCATTTAAGTTCCTACGATTTTTTGGATCTTGTTCCTTGATGTACGATGTTGTTTGAGACTCTGTCCCGTCATTGAATGCCTAGTATTGCTTTGAAGATCGAGCTACTTTAATCATGTCTATTTATCAATAGGTAATCATTCGTGCAACCCACTACATATATTCAAAATACCCGCTGTCTCAAACATATAGGAATTTCTTTGTTTTTAAATACATCACGGAGTTGTCTAAAGTACCTAATTCCAAGTCTACTTGTCTTTGGATTTCACAGGTGTAGTTTTGGGTCCAAGATACTCGTCATCATATAATGATTTCTGTGTCCTAAGATACTGATTATCTCACCTTATACAAAGTCAATTTATGAATTTGGTCTTGTCAATGTCCATATTTATTGGGAGCTCAATCCCAAGGTCACTTTCTGCATTGGTTCGACTGGTGCCATGCGCAAAGCCCTTTCAGCAGCCTTGCAGGCTTCACATAGAAGTTGTGGGAAAAGCTAGGTTCAAACAATAGAAGGCATAAATTATGACAGAGGCACCCGTAATCATTTTTGCGCAACAATATGACCTAAATTAGACTTAACGTTGAAATGAGTACATTTTACAACGATTAGTACTGGTTTCAATGAAACTATATATTATTAAAAACGTATAACTTACTTAACTAGTGTATTTAACGAGATCATTACCTGGAACATTATTAACGTAACAACCGTCGGCTATCAAGTGCCCGTCTACTGGATCACAAAGTGGAGGATAGAGGCCCACAATAGACATACTCGCTCTGACATACCTCCACAAACTACCTGCCGATTAACTTTATGACTTAATCTAATGCTCGATTGAGAAATGATACTGTTTTCTTTGTAATGGTTTCTGTGGGTATACGGTTAACGTGAAAATTATTAAAAAAAAAAAGGAAAGTACCAAGTATACCGAAAATGCGGGAATATGTTAATTTTAATTGATAATAAAAATTACTACTCAAAACTACTACTAAACTACTTTACTTTAATCTAATAAATAATGTATTTTTCTAGCCTATTTAATATGTTTATTGCTTTTATAAAATTAAAAAACAAACAATTTCAAGTACCACAACTATTAAAAGATTGAATAATTTATTAGTCACACTTATAGCCGGTTGCAACGATGTTCAATATAATTTAGTGGTCCAATAAACTTTAACAGAACTTGGGATTGTGATATATTCGAATATCTAATAAAGGATCATTAACCATTTGAGAGATTTAACAAGCGTTTCTGGAATCGTGTGACAATATATTAAATGTTTATGATTTTAACGAATTATTTAACGAATGAATTTGACTGACGAATGTTTTTGCTAAATTGAATACTGGCGATAGTTTAAAAAATAATCTAACAAAAATATGCAATATTCAACGATTTGAATCAGATTTATGTCAATTTGATATTAAAACGGCTTTACAGAGTGCATGAAAATTGTATTAAAGAATAAATTCTAAATTTTAGAGAAAATTAATTTTCAAGTAGTAGTACTTTTTATTGTTAACTATAAATGCAATACCGCAATACTAAACCTCTGAAACCAAAATAAAATTATCTAATCCAAAATGTTTCCCAATGAATTCTAAAACTCAGCGAATTAAGTTATAAAATATAGGTACTTCCACACAGCTCTTCCAATATCCATTGTGATTGGTTATCTCCTATATTTTCCTCCAATTTATTTTACAGGCCATTTACACAACCTAAACGTTTTCGATTTACAATAAACATTTTCTTAAAAATATATACAGTGGAATTGGTAAAGAAAATTTGGCTGTATACTTGTATTTATTTAGGCAAACTGAAATTACCTAAACAAGACAAAAGTGCATCAAAACCATAATTTAGACAAATTTGGGTTCAATCTGAACAATCGTTTCATGCTTCAATTTATGAAGTTGATGAATGTAAAGGAGTAGAGAACTTATTGTTGCAGAGTGGGGATTTGGGCTTTCAGGAAATTAGCCTTACATTTCAGATTTTGTCCTTATTGATCTTTTCTCAAAATTGAATTATCACTTAAAACGCAGTTTTAATACTAGTTTTCAAATAAAAAAGCAAATAAATTAACGTAAAAGAAGAAGAGATAAACAACAATCAAACATTTTAAAAGTAATAATGGCACAAGAGAGCAAATAACAAAAAGGAAGGCAGAATGGCAGAAATGTAAAATGAATCTGATTCAAAAAAAATTGGGATGAAGAAATAAAAAATGTCGGAGGTGGAAGAAGGCAACCACAAGGATTCAAAATATGAAAAAATTGAAAAGGCATCCGATATATTAAAAATGTAAGCGTCGCCCCCTGTATATTATTTTATTGTAGGTATTACATTAAAAACTTTTTTAGTAGTATACTTATACCTTGCACACAATTTGATGAAAAAATATTCACGTGTGATTTGATATATTAACAAAAAATGTATTTTTCCTTTCTATCTTTAGACAGCAGCTACAGCATGAGAAGTACTTTAGAATCTAACTTTATTATGTACTTTGCAATAAACAATAAAACGATTGTACCTAAATATATCATTATCATAGCAGATTTATGAGGGGCAGTCAAATGAAAATCGAACACCCGCTACAAAGGAAAGGTCAATTGCCAAAAGTGTTAACATATTTATTTCACTCATTCTTGCACTTCCTCGTCGGAATAAAGCCGATGTCCACCAATGCAAAAGGATGATTTAATCCGACAGCATTCCAGGGCGTTTTAACTTTATTGCTGTGCATTTTTACTATGCATTTGTCCCACCATACACATGGTAGTATCGATACAGTATTACCAACATTTGCGAGGAATGTGTTTTATGATAGTGTTCGGTTTTCAATGGACTGCCTCTTAAGAGTCTATAAATATCATAACCAGAATGATAGTGCTATATATAAAGAAACTGATACTTTCTAACATTACGAGATTGAAAAATAGTTTTACAGCCAAATTTTCCATTTAACCATTACAAATTATCCTCATTCCCGAATGAGGTTATATTACCATTTACTTACCTCAAACACAACAAAGTCACCATCATGCAATGAAAATAAAAGACAAACGACAGTCGACAGACCACGCTAAGCAATTGCTTACGGGATCTGCGCAATGTACATAAAATTTAATGGGAAAAAAAGGAAAGAGAAAGAGAATTACCTGGCAGGTTGTTAGTGTAACCTCCATCAAGAAGAAGATGTCCGTCTACAGGATCACACAGCGGTGGCATGTACCCAGACAGGGACATTGATGAACGTATATAGCGCCATAGTGAGCCTACGGAATAGCTGGGCTAAACTACATGCTCTTATTTACATGGTAATGATTTCATTGCGAATGTGTTAATTTTCCTTAACCGATGGCCACAATTTGTTTATTTAAACTTTCTGTGTATTAGATCTATCAATATGGTAAGATTATAAAAATGTAGTAAGAGTACTAAGTCAAATGCAGTAATTTCAATGACAAAGTTATTTCCAAAAATATTATGTTATACGGGGTAGTATACAATTATTATATCTCATGAGCTGAATATATCAGAAAAGTAAAACCCAATGATGTATAACAAGTAGGTTGCTATTTCATGAGATATAGCCAATTTGTCACTTCTTATATATTATAGCTTAATGGTTTATTAGAGAACAATTCTATTTATGTTGACTACTTACAAATATTTTCTAAGACAACAAATAGTATGAAGGAAAACATCTCAAAAAAGGAACAAAATACCTACAACTTTAACTTACATTGGTAATATAGAAAAATTCATCTTGAACTTCAAAAAATAGGTAATGATCCATCGACATAATATATCAGCTGACTTTTTGCTTTGACAGTTGAAACATTTTTACGATTCAATACTATACAAGGTCTGGTACACCAATATACAGGGTGGGCCAAACCTCTGTCGTAGTTCTATAACTCCTATTATGAAAATATTAACGATTTATTAAAAGTATCTGTCAAAAGGGGGGTCAAAACCAAATATACGAAAATTATTTTCGTGGGTACAAGGGGGCCCAATAGTAAATTAGACAAATTACTTAATTCTCTTTAAATGGAATGGCCCACCTTTTTTTACAATTTTAGATACTCTATGGTCACTAGTACATACCTACGAAATATTGTTTCTAACATCCCATCCCTTTCGAAAAAAAAAATTATCGAAAAATTTTACATTTTCAGACGCCTATTAAAATACGCAGTACTCTCTCGAATTTAACGTTAAAATTTAAATAAACTACAAATATATAAAGCCAATACACCAAATATTTTTTAGACTAAGTTTTAATTTTTCATTTTGTAGGGGGTAGTCACAAATTAATTTCAATTTCCAAAAATTTCCAGGAAAAGTTTTTAAAATTTTTCAAATGTAACACCCTACCCTTCATCAACGGAAGGAGAATTTTATATATTCTTCGACTTCTCCATGTACTTACTTGCGTTCGAAAAATAGCCCGTTTAAAGAAAATTAAAATAATAAAATTTATTCGAAAATTATCTGAAAACATAAATTTACATTTTATAAAAGATACTCAAAATGTCGGCCATTTTTTCTAATGCATAATTTATTCGTTCGGCGAATGATCGAGAAACGTTTCTAAGCATATCAGGTGTAATGGAATGGAAAGTTTTCATTATCCTTTCTTTCCTATTTTCGGATGTTGTAGGTGGCATTAGATAGACTAGATTTTTAATATAACCCCACATAAAATAATCGGATTTTGTAAAGTCAGGTGATCTAGCTGGCTATTTTTTGTACCATTTCTACCAATCCATATATTGGGAAACTTTTCCATCTAATTCATCTGCCACCTCGCGTAAAGAATGCGCTCCTATCTCATCATGCTGGTACCACATTGTTTGTCTTACAGAAAGGGAAATGTTTTCAAGAGAGTGATGACACATTATACCATTTAAGTTGCCTTCAAAAAAATACGGCCCAATAACATGATCCCCAATTATATCTCCCAAAACATTTGTGTTTTGATGATGTTAGGATTTTCCGTGGAATAATAGTGGAAATTATGTCTATTACGAATCTGTTCTTGTAAAATGTAGATTCCTCAGAAAACAGCACTTTATCAAAAAAAGTTGGATTTTGTTGCAGTTTAGTTTATGCCCAATTACAAAACCGCATTCGTTTATCAAAATCGGTGTCTTTCAGCTCTTGATGCAATTGTATTTTGTAAGGATAATAATGACATATATTTTACTTATACCCACTCGGCAATAATTTTTTGACTTAAATTAGGATCTTCTATCGCCGTCAAAATTACATGTAACTGGTTATCATCATCAGTAGCACTTTGGTCAATTACAGGTTTTTATAAGCAACATTTCCTTTCAATAAATCTTGAAAGAAATTTTTCAAAACTTTTTTGATCTGGGATGCGTGTATCCGGATATCGTTGATGATAAATTATTTTTTTAATAAACAATTTCTGTCAGATTCTCCCAAAACATAGACCATGTCAATTAATTCATTTTTTGTAAAATTAATTATTAATAGAATTATCGCGATCAGTAAAAATAACCTCTGAAATATTAATGTCAGACACTAAATAATCTTAATCTGAGACTGCATTAAGAGCGGCGTCTGGTCATATCTCGAAAACTGTTTATCTGGACAATTTCGCAATTATTTTTACAAAATCTTTGAAAGAAAATATCTAAAATTGATTTTACCTTTGTAACTTTTCGCTATGTCACGTGATATACCACATAATTGTGTTTTCATAAAAAAATCTATATAATTTTAAACAAAGCTTTCAAAAAAACTAAACAATGTTTTGAAATGTGAAGTGTTTCATTATTTTTATATGTTGGTTGTACCGGTTGTAAAGGAAAGACAACATGTAAAAATGTTTAATTTTAAAGAAAAGTCTTAGGTAAGTCAATGCGATTATATGCGGTTTAGATACCAAAAGTCAAAATCATTTTTCGAGTACTTTAGAACAACTCCGTTTTTTAAGAAGTCTGTTCAACCCCTAGGCACACTCCATGAACGGTTTTCAATGTTAAAATTAATGCCAAGAAGTATTTTTTTCTCGAAAGCTTGGTTTAAAGTCAACGGCGCATATAAGGCAGATTTCTATGGGCGAACTCCAACTTTAAGACCCAGCCTACTTGTTTGAATGTTCACTTTCGATAAAATCACTAGAAGAAATTGGACTTTTTATAGATAATAAGAGTTACTTCAAGTTCACTTAAGGTCAGTCACTATTAGTACCGCTCTTATTTTGACATCTGAGCATGTGCAGATCACTTACATTCTAGAATCTAGAACTGACTTTAATAAAGATTAGAAAGATATGCGCTAGTTCAGTGTGATGCCATTTTGGTTCCACTGACATTTAATTCTAACCAAACTTTTAACAAAAACATCAATAAATTTGACATATACGTTTTTACTGTTTTTATTTTATTTCAAAATATTGTTTACAGGTCATAAAAAATAGTTTAAAGGTATGTAATTGGTAACTAAACGATTGTATATTTGATACATGCTATCTACTTACTTTAGGAATATATTTATAAAAGTGAAAAAAACGATATAATTTAGGTAAACAAAATGAACAAAACGCACTCAAAAAATCTACTGTCACTTTAATTGTCAGTGGAACCATAATTACATCATCACTGAACTAGCGCATTGCAAATTTCTATAACGTCAGCCACTAATAGTGACAACGTAATTAGAGGTAAATAAATTCCATGTTAAAATAAGACTTATTGCAAACCTGAAATTTTGACATTAGAGTCCTTGTCCTTATACATATTTCTAACCTCATTTTAAAAATTTTATATTACAGTTCATATTTTTTGTTGTTTATAATAGTACATAATATGGAAGAGGCATTAGAAATTACCATTTTAGAAGGTTTAGATGACGATGATATTAAATATTTATTATTAAAAATATTCGAACTGATACGAATGTTAGCGAGGGCACCCGAAAACTATAAAGTCGCCACTAACCGCGGTCCTTAAACATCCACAATTAAGGACAGGCACAATCTTTATTAAAGTCAGTTCTAGAATGTAAGTGTTCTGCGCATGCTCAGATGTCAAAATAAGAGCGGCACTAATAGTGGCTGACCTTAAGTGAACTTGCAATAACTCTCTATTGTACCTGTCCTTAATTGTGGATGTTTAAGGACAGCAGTTAGTGGCGACTTTATAGTTTTCGGGTGCGCTCGCCAACATTCGTATCAATTCGAAGTTTTTTTAATATTAAAAATTTAAAATCTTCATCTAAACCTTCTAAAATGGTAATTTCTAATGCCTCTTCCATATTATGTACTATTATAAATAACAAAAAAGATAAACTATAATTTGAAATTTTTAAAATGAGGTTAGAAATATGTATGAGGACAAGGACTCTAGTGTCAAAATTTCAGACTTGCAATAAGTCTTATTTTACCATGGAATTTATTTGCCTCTAATTACGTTGTCACTATTAGTGGCTGACGTTATAGAAATTTGCAATATCACTTTAAGGTCTTTTTAGAATTTACTTTTTAACGACGAAAAATCGGTACCTAAAAGTACATAGGGGAAATCGAAGGGTATAAAATTCTTCTTCTGTTGATAAATAGTAATACAGGGTATTCCATTTGAAAAAATTCCCTGCATATTTTTGGAAAGTGAAATTAATTTGGGATTATCCTGTAAAAAATAAAAAAATAAAAACTAGGTCTAAAAAATCTTTATACATTTATAGTTTTTTAAACCCTAACGTTAAATTCGAGATAGCACTGCATATTTTAATAGATGTCTAATAATATAATATTTTTCGGTAAAAAAATATTTTCTGTGAATAGGGTGGGATGTTAGAAACAATATTTTGTAGGTATGTACTAGTGACCATAGAGTACCTAAAATTGTAAAAAAAGTTGGGTCATTCCAATTAAAAAAAATTAACTGATTTGCCTAATTTACTATTGGGCGGGCCACCCTGTAGACAAGAAAAAAATTTTTAGATATTTGGTTTTGACCCCCACTAACAGGTATAAATCGTTAAGATTTGCATAGTAGGAGTTATAGAACTACGATGGAGGTTTGGCACCCCCTGTATACTGTACAAAATGAATTAGGATCTACCATTTTGTCGCGAACATGAAAACCTAGACTGAACAGGAATGAAAAAGTATTATTCCCAGACGAGTCTCTTTTTCGGAAGAGGATTAGTAATGGCGTAGGAGGCATCAGTTTCAATGGAAGAACTGAGCTCGTTGTGCTTTAGGGTAGGAATTTGAGGCCCTGTCGCTAAAG